ACCTTCTTAACTGTATGTATACAGAATTCTGCTTACCAATTTCTTATTCTTGACTTTTACTTTATGAGCTGAGATGTATGCCAATGACAGCTCAGCATGAAGAAAACAAAAACAGTGGAGATGAAGACGACGAGGAACCAGAAGAAAGCTCAAATAGAGAATCGGAGAATCGAGAGGATGACAAAATCGATGATCGATTACAGGAAAAAGGTTGATCCCACTTGATGACATCAAAGCAAGCAAAATTTGTGGAGCGCTTCTGAATTTAAATACCCTGGTCCCAGATATTTTTCTTGATTTTTCTCCGCATGAGAGAGCTACGAGAGAGCCGCGAAGCGGTGAAGACACAAGTCGAGGAGCGGCGAGAAAGAAAAAAGAGGTTTTTCTTTCTCGCCGCTTCGCGACTCGTGTTCGCCGCTTCGCGAAAAGATTAAAGAAGAAAAATCAAGAAATACCTCTGGGACTAGGGTAGAATTTAAAAGGGAACGAATCCACCAGAGATCCTTCCAGTGTACACAAATCCCAAACAGAAAGCAGTGCAAGGATGTAGCAGAATTTCGCGCCGAATTTGCTGTGCTCCTCCAAGCGCAGGCTAACATCGTCGTTGTCGGCAAACATCAACTGTAATTCATTGATTTTATGCTCTTCCTCGACAACCCAGTCTTTCTTCATAACTTCCCATTAATAAAACTGCAAATATACTGACAAACTGGCCAAGCAATAAGCACCAACTTGTGGTGAAAAGAGCACAATCAAGCGCAGTTCACACAAACTACCGTTCAATGGCCGCTCCATCGCGCGCGCTTCCAATCGCCGCAGTAAGTCAGCGGTGAACGTTTTGCGCACGTGTCTTTAAAAAAATCCTCAGCCAATCAGCGGTTTTTGAGACCTGTCGGCGGTGGCGGAGTTGCCCAACATGGCGGCCATACTCCAAATAATAGGTTGACAGAGAAATGCAGCCTTGGTTTACTGTGTACTTCCTTGATATTGGACATCCATGCTATCATCAATTGACACCTTTCAAAACAAGGTATCCGCTGACCAGTATCACGTGACCATACCGCGGGCTCAAGTTTACTGCTTCTCAAGGTCACGTGTTTTTTAAGTTGACCGCTGACCAAGTGGTGGTTATAGATTGGATCGCGGGCTCGTATTAGGTTAACTTGTTGGAAACAGGGCAGGACTGTTCGGAAGCCGGTTAACGCTAACCCAGGATTAAAAGTTAACCGAATTATAACTTTTGCTTCTATACAAATGTTTTTTGCTGTTTCGTTTTGTGTATATGGTGATTATTAAAACTCAAAACAGAAGGTCAAACAATATACAGAAAGCCTCACCGCAAAGTTACAAAACTCAAATCAAAATTCTACCTTTTTCTGGGTTAGCTTAATCGGGCTTTGAACAACCCGGCCCAGGAGCTACACTTTTAGGCTGGCCCAAATCTATATAGTAAACTTTTCCTATAATCAGATGATGAGCTAGCAAGGTCGGAGAGGAAAAGTGGGATCACCAACTTCATTCATTATATGGAAAACTACTCTGTTTATCAAAAAAATGCCTATCTACCATCTACTTTGGCGAGAAAAAAACGCTGGAGGAGAACGAGATTTCTTAACACTATTTTTATAAATCCAGATATATACATGTATTCCATAGAACATGACTGAATAAAAGGAAAGGCCAAGAAATGAGAAACTCAAATTAAGGGGATCCTTCTACAGATTTAGAGCAGTTGCTAAGAGATAGCTGAAGGCGATATTTAGGGGAAAGCTATTATGGAGCGTTTTGCAGTGCTAATGGTGAATTTTATACGAGGGAGAGTTTTCTTTGAAAAATATGATTTCGTGTGCGTAACTAGTGCCAGTCCTAAGCTGACTGGAAGAAAAGAGGAAGAGTTTCGATTTTTCGCATGAATTAGAAATACCTTAGCCTTCTTTACTGTAATCGTACAAATGGAATTACTGTTTACATGTAAAAGAGGAAAGCTGTTGTAGAAAGTGTGTTTATACGGTTGTTTGTTACCTCATAACTTTTATGATAATGCGAGTTTCATAATATAATGCTATTGACACTGATTTAAATTTTCGGATTTAGATGCCTTTTAAGATTAAGGGTTTTTCTATTCTGGTCACGTGACTGGTGAAATAGGGTGATTTAGAACTTTTGCAGGACTCTTCAATGGAACAAACCTGTGCAAAAAGCTTATCCTTAGGAGATCTGGTTTTCAAAAGATGACGGTTAGAAACCTTTCTTAGCAACAAATTCATGACAAATTGGTAGTTACATGTAAGAAGGACGCCCCTTAATGGCGATCTTTGTAATGCATCTGGGGTCAAAATAGGGCATTACCTGATCATTTCTAATATTTTCTGCCAAAATATGACTATGAGTAATGCGTTCCTCAGACCAAATTACCTGCAGAGTTTGATTTCACGACTCCCAAAGGTCTAAAAATCACTCAAAGAAATGGGGAAAAAATAGACAAATCCTTGTATGGGAGTGTGCCGCTGGGACACTGAAACCCTTACCCTATACTACACCATGAACAGCTGGATTTTGCAACCCTATTCTACACTAGGCACTAAAAACCCCTACCCTATCCCAGACTAGCTATTTTCCATGCAGAGACTTTATCACTGTCATAGTCCCACATACACTAACTAAACCAATATCTCACAAAGTCAATTCCAAGTTTAAATTGCTATTTTAGAACCCTGAGTAAAGAACCTTGTTCTAGACTTATAATTATCTATACACTGGCCACTTTCCAGACCAAAACTGTCTAATTGAGTTCTATACCCTATCCCAACTAAACTGCCTGTAAAAAGAACATACCCTTCACAGCGTCAAACATCCATAAAGCTTATATATGGGAGTACCCACCCCCCCTCTCCCCCAGAGAGAAGAGCACAGAAAGGAAGAGAAGAGAGTGAGGGGACAAAAAAAGACTGCCATTCCTTTGAATTTTATATCGTCTTCTTGGGAGAAAAAAGACTAGGGCAGGGCTGGATTTTCTTTAGGACTGTTTTCATAAATCCAGACGTATATAACAGTACTAGGGTATACATTCACCTTGGATGTTGCCCTTGCGTAGAAATGTTAAAATCCTTCTTTACTTTCTTAAAGGTAGCAGATATAGCTCCATTCTGCAAAATAAGAAGTTATGCCCTAAATGTTAATACTCAATTGGAGTGGACTAAAAATATGGCCGCAAGCCAGGCTGGTGCTTATCTGTACATGTGGTTTCTGTAAGATAAAGGGTCTAGGGGTATTTCTACCTACCCCCCTCCCCCAAAACCCCCCTTTCCTGGATGGGGTGCTAGTCTATCACAAGGTTACCACCAGCCTTGTTAGAAATAGTAAGATTGTTACAAAATTCCGAACAGCGTTCTGTGCCAATTCTTTTGTTGATCCTACTATCTTTGTACAATGCATGTAGACACAAGACAAATATCATCATTATATGGACTAGCTAGGCATTGCAAAAGTACTCTCGATAATTGCAAACATTATCATGTACATAAGACTGTATGCAACTCAGTACACCAGAGACTGGGGTAATAACTGCAGATAGAGAACTTCCTTCTTCAAATGTTTTTTTTTCTTTTGTACATGTTGTTTACAATGTCATACTGCAGATTTTCTATGTCAGAAAATTTTTGGAGTCGACACTAAATAACATTTTGTTCAATTTAGGCTAAAAAAAAACGTCACCTTATCGACTTGGATTTATATTCCTCAAATTTACTCTAACATAATCTAACACGCCTCATCCAGGAGGAAAATGCTGGTACCATATTATGGCTGAAAAGGGCTACCAGTATCACTTAGCTGTGGCTCAGGGTTATCATTACAATATGCCTTTCACCATCTTGTGCTGGAAGTGTGGACTGCTGAGGAATGTTTCATTTTCTTTATTCAAAATATACAGCCAACATATATACGAGCTTATTTTTCCTAACTTCCTGGCATGCTACGAATTTCTGCAGTATATCAGCAGTATTTTGTTGACATCAGTAACTCTGTGATGACAAAAAACCAAGAAAATCAGGCAGATTTGAATCCAGCCCAATTAGTCAATCAGACTGAAGGATGAATGCCTGCAACACTTTCCCACAAGTACTAATTGTATGATGTCATTTCTGTAGCCAAACAACATTGCTTGGTTCCAACTGAACTCTTAGTTCAACAAAACGAGAAACCCCACACAGTACAGCTCAATCCCCAGCAAATGTCATGTGCACAATAGACTTTTTAGTGAAACAACAAAAGAAACTAACCTCCTCTTCTGTCATAAAGCGTATTTCTCGTACAATTCTTGCCAGAGTAGTACACATTTCCAGTGCTGTGAATATCCCTGAAGCAGCAATTCTTCCAAATGCTTGACAAGGAACAACAAGAAGAAATGTTCTTCTGAAGAGAGGGTCCAAGGCAAACAATGGAGCCAGCATTTTGATCATGTGTGATGGACAGCTAAAGGACAAAATCAGTCACTGCATCAAGCCTGAAAATCACAACTGTTATAATTTCTATAAGGCATGGTAAAATGTTTCTGGACTGCACGTATCTTTACTTTTTTTCACTTAAGCCCTGGTCAAGTGGCACACGATCATCATGATCAATGATAGTTGACAATAAGCTTATGAACGTGAGTCTTCTATGGGAAAATATGCAACAAGGTACAGCTGCGTTGATGATGACACTCGTAGACTACTGAGACAATNTTGCCAGAGTAGTACACATTTCCAGTGCTGTGAATATCCCTGAAGCAGCAATTCTTCCAAATGCTTGACAAGGAACAACAAGAAGAAATGTTCTTCTGAAGAGAGGGTCCAAGGCAAACAGTGGAGCCAGCATTTTGATCATGTGTGATGGGCAGCTAAAGAACAAAATCAGTCACTGCATCAAGCCTGAAAATCAAAACTGTTATAATGTCTATATGGCATGGTAAAATTTTTCTGGACTGCAGGTATCTTTACTTTTTTTCACGTAAGCCCCAGACAAATGACGCACAATCATCATGATCAATGATAGTTGACAATAAGCCTATGGACACGAGCCTTCTATGGTAATGGGAGAATATGCAACAAGGTGCAGCTACATTGATGATGACACTTGTAGAAAATGAGCTCAAGTAGTGTAATTATTTTGTAGGTACTCAAGGTAATCGCAGTCCAAAAACCCACAAGTTAATGTATCATTAAGCCATGCATTGAGGATATTTCCCTCTTAGAGCAGCATGCAGCCACTGTAATCTATCTGCAAATAGCCAAATATAGGGTAACAAATCAGATTCACAGATTTCTACTAGAAACACACCGATGGTCAGTGGGAAAGCCGATCTTTGAAACTTGTACTCCCAGCCGTTTCACCAGTAACTATCAGTAACTAAAACTGACTAACATCAGCTATCGTTCATTTTGAGCTTGGTCAGTTTCTTTATGATAGTCAATGATCGTTTTTCTTGTTTTAACTCACATGTCTTCAGTACGAATAAGCATGCATTTTTTTGTACCTAAGAGGTCTTGCTTACATGAACTGAGATAAAATCTAGGCAGTGCACAAATTTAATAGACTGAATAATTGAATAAGTTTTTCTTGGAACTTTTTTGTGATGGGGGTCAACATATTGTTATTGCAAAAACACAAATGGCAGGTGAAATGCATCCTTGCATGTACGTCTATTTTTCAAGGATTAATTCTACCATACCCATCATCACCCACAGTTCTTTCTCTCACAGCCTTTGTCTCAAAGCCACCAGCTCCCCACCATGTGTCACTCCTGTCTTGAGGTGTTTCAAGAAGCAGCACAGCTGCATTGAAAGGCTGTGATTCCTGAGTTAAAAAGTGGGCCAAGGGTACAGCAAACAGCCAGGAGTTAAGGTGACGATGATTCTTTGCAGCATATCTGCAGATGGCTTGAACTGACTCACCTAACTCTCTGTTGAAAATAAAGACATGGTATCCCTTTCAACTTCATGTAAATGGTTGTTAAAACTCCCTCAGTTTGATTAATAACACATTAAGAACATTCGCGCTAATTGTTTCTGCGCATCCTTACAGCGCATGCAAATTGACACGCCACATCACGCACTAAGATGCATGCACTAAGAAATGAAATGAACAATGATAGGGCAGATGATAATGATCTTGGATGTTCAGTAACCCCTATTATTCCTTTAATGGATCATTTTCTCTACTGATTTATTGATTTAATCTATGAACTGGACCATTTCAGCGTGAATGTCCTTAAGATTCATACTACACATAATTATTATTTTTTTCAACAAAAATAATGTACAATAAATACCATTTCCTTATGCTCTCCATCCAAAATAGGCAGAAGCTTTGAGGTAGCACTTACATGTACTTTTATTCACTAATTTACCATAACAGTTAAATAGTGAGCTCGGGATTACTATGAGGATGGTGGATGGGGCTGAACGCAGAATGAACTACATGTATCACATTATAGAAATTGAGAGTGAATAATTTAATTGTTTTAATTGAGTTCTAACAACATTTCCTGAAATAATGCTTTCCATACATCTCTATTAGAAGTAGCATTTATACACTTTCGGATCTTAAGACCCCATCAAAACTGTTCCAATTAAATGTCAGAAGTACCAAAATAAAGTGGCAGATGTACATTAGCAAAAAGTGAAAGCTCAGCACAAAACTCTTGTACACAAGAGGGCTCAAGTCTGGGTGTCATGGCTCATCTGAGATTGCAAGACAGTTTTAAAATACTATAACTATGTATATCAGAAATGGCGATCAAATCATGATTCAATATCAGGTTTCTTAGCCAGGCAGCTTCATCAAAGTTATATAGAATGACCTCTAAGAAAAATTATAGCATATTATTTTGTTAAAAATTACCTCCAATGCACATCAGGAAAGTTATGTAGAAGCTTGTTAAATGCTGAACAGGTATTTTCTTCAGTATCACGCCACAGAGATAATGACATAAACAGCCTGTGATAATCTTCAACATCAAGCTGTACTTTGTGCAATGTAATAATATGACAAATGGCTACTGCTGAAACTAGGCAGGAAAGCCTTGTTTTCTCGTCCACATTCACCTCCCGAAGAGTAGCATTCTGTTCAAGTTTAGGCTTCAGGTAATCCCTCAGAATCTGAATGAGAATACCAAAGTCCAGAAATGAAGTGAACAGGAGAGTGTGCAAAATATCAATAGCCCCCAAGACACTCAGAACTAGAAGTAATCACAGCTTATTGGGTGCACTGGAGTTAACAGTAGACCTTATTCTAGAGTACCTAAATGGTGCAAACTGCAGTTGAGGGGAAGGAGGATGTAAATTTATGCTTAACCTAAATGACTGTTCGTCTATTGCGAGTGTTGATGCAGAGCAGGGTTGTTGTTAGACAGAACTGGATTGTCGGTAACAGTGACAACAGCAACAAACTGTGTTTATTTATTTAACTACACTGAACTCGGATTACATATTACATTACAGTGAACTCAGCAGCTGTCACAAAAGGTCAGATTTCTTTGGCTCAATGGCCAGTGAAGACAGCTTATTTCATGCTAATTGTTTACACCGCCACAAGATTCACTGAAATGTATTGCCGCCAGCTATTCAGCACTGTAGCAGATCCTAAGAAAATAGATCACATTCAAAGCATTATCCAGAAGCCAGAGACAGCACATATTTCCTTCAGGCTTTGGTAGACTGCACATAGAAATCTGTGAGAAATCATTTACTTTATAAGACAATGAACCAATGCAACGATGAAGCTACTATACAGTACAAATATAAATAAACAAAGCAAATAATTGAGGAATGACTTACGCAACTGGTACAAAAAGTACATCACTCACAAGGTGCACAGTAGCACACAAGCATTATGTCATTCAAAATGGCGCTGAAATTGTACATGACCCAAATGAAAAAATTTGCAAAGCTTTTGCCTTGGTTACACAGGAAACCCAAAAAGTCACAGGAACCCTTACAAATTAGATAACGTTCTCCTAAAGTCAAACACAAAAAATTTAGGCACTGATCAGAGAGTGGGGATCATTTTAAATTCACCTTGCAACTCTAAAGAACCAAAAACACATTGTCGCTAAGGTAATTAAAATAACACTTGAAAATAAGAAACAAAATCTTTCTCAACTAAAGATCATAAGCACGCAAGATTTGCAAGTGCTGTATTTTTCTGGGAGGCAAAAGAATAACACACTTGCATCGATAGTAGTGAAAGATTTAAGTGCATGTTTTTATAAGGCAGAATTAGAATCCCATAACAGTAAGGGTTGAGCTTATTCAAGTTGGTCTCATGATCTTAATTTCTGGAACTTCCACTTTCTGGGCAGATCCCCGATTTTTGAATTGAAGGTGGCAGGGGCTGTTGGTAAATACTTTTATGAATTTAGTTTTGAACCAGTTTTCAATGCTGCGTACATATTCCATTCTTAAAATTAATTTAATTTTTGACAGACTTTGTTGAGGATGACAGACCACCCAATGTACCCCAACCTATTTTAGGGAGATATTTGGCAACTGTTGTGAAACAAGTTTGGCTAGTTACGATTTGAACTGAAATGTAGAGTTTAAGATATGGAACATATAGCACTTATTATATAAACCAATTTGAAATAGCACTCATCCTGCCCTCGCCTACTCTCCCCTCTACCTTCCCCAGCCTGGACTACCCCAACCAAACCCCACTTCTGTGACTGCTAGAGAAAAATGGGTCTGTAACAGGTAGTTGTTTTTACTTCTTTCTTTTAAAACCATCAAAAAGAAATGGTTAGACATATTGCACAGCATTCTATTGAAGCACAGGTGTTACACTGAAATTACTTTCTCAAGTAGTTTGATCATGGCTTTAATTATGCTCTTAATAAAGTTATATTGAATTAACCACTTAATAACTCAACCAGTTAAACATTAAACTTTATCCACATCATGCTTAATTATAGTTGGCAAGTACTAATTCTATGCAAGGGCCATAGTCTCTAACAGTGTTGGAGACTAAATTTTGACAGCATTTGCCATTCGTGCATTAGTAACTCTCAAAATGCTCTTGCCGGTTGTAATTTTCACTCCCTTGCCTAAAAAGATGCCTTGATCCCCTCCATTTTGTGTGAAGCTTTCTTGTTCTGGCCCATTTTTGCAGGCCTATTTTACTGTTTTACCCACTTTTTATCATCAACTTTTGACACTCCTGGGAAATATTTCCACATTTCCGAATTCACATATATCCCTAGAATCGAGATATTGGAGTCAACAACTTGTCAGCAGGTGGATTAGCTAGACTGACGATTTTCTTTCCATGAAAAATTATTCTAAAAGAGCTCAAAGATAACTAAAACAAAGGCACTTTAATTTTGAAAGCAGTTGTTATTCAAGAATCTTCGAGATGTTTGAGATTCAATTCTTAACAAGCAACCATCCTTGTTCTTAGACACCAACAGTATCACTTCAGATACGACTGTAACTGTT